AATCTGATATGTAGCGGGGAAAAAAAGAAGAAAGAGTTCATCAGACGCTGGATTCGAGCCGAGTTCATGCTCGAACGTATCAATTCATGATCACATGCGTCTTACGAGTAGCGCCACTGAGACTGTTCAGCGTCCTGCAACATTTTACAGATATAAACCACACTATTTCTTGTGTTAATGCACTCAGTGCGATGGTCAGACCCAACTGTGTTGACCGCATCAGCTAAACGCTCCCACTCTATTTTTTTCTTTTGTTGTTAATTCCGGAGAGCAAACTTGCAAATAACACCGCTTTTATCCGGTCTACCTCCGAAAGCAGCACCTCCAATTCACATTCTGTTCAAAGTTTCTCTTTTTGCTTGCTTTTGCCATTGCTTTTTCGTTGGGTTTTGCCATTAGCATAGTCATTAGCATATTCATACAGGGGAGGAGGCAGGGAGGGGTTTTGTGCTCGTGCATGTTGCGCTCAGTTTCACGTTCATTCAGATGTACAAAAGAATATGCGTGAGATTCGGCGTACGCAGTGTTTCATACATCTGAATTTTTTTCTGCGTACGCACCTTTACAGCTTTGTGCATACGCAATGTTTTAGTAAGATTTCCACGCAAGTCTTCGTACATGAGGCCCCAGGTCCGGTTGGGCCAGAGGGGCGCAACTCACAGAACCTGCTCCTCGACCTCCCTGACCTTGCACAGTAACTGCGCGATCAGGCTCACTGGGGGAAACGCATACTTGCTTATGCCCCAAGGCCAGCTGTGGGCCAGTGCATCCATGCCGAGAGTGCCCTTGGTCAGGGAATAAAACAACTGGCAATGAGCGTTCTCGGGGGAAGCAAACAGATCGATCTGAGCCTCCCCGAATCGCGCCCATATCAGCTGAACAGACTCGGGGTGGAGTCTCCATTCTCCAGAGTGAATCTGCTGCCGTGAGAGCGCATCAGCTGCACGGTTGAGCATACCTGGGATGTGAATGGCGTGAAGCGACTTCAGCCGCGGGTGACTCCAGAGGAGGGGAAGGGGAGGACCTAGTACTGCCATGCTCGACCTTCGAATGCAAACCGCAGAAACTGACGGTGACGTGGAAGAATGGAGACATGAAAATACGCGTCCTTCAGGTCTATGGCTGCAAACCAATCCTGAGGGCGGACGCATCGGAGGATGCGCTTCTGCGAAAGCATTCTGAACGACAGCTTGTGAAGGCAGTGGTTCAAAACTCGCAGACCTAGGATTGGCCGTGACCCACCGCTCTTTTTGGGTACGATGAAGTACGGGCTGTAAAACCCGCTCTCCATCTCGGCTGGAGGTACCGGTTCGATTGGACCCTTCGCCAGGAGGGCAGCAATCTCCTCTCGCAAGACAGTGGCGGACAGGGAATGACCCTGGTGAAAATACACGCCCGTGAACTTGGGAGGCCGTTTCGAGAACTGAAGTTCCTAGCCGAGTCTGATAGTGCGTATGAGCCACCGCGAGGGACTGGCCCGCGCTAACCAGGCAGGCAGAGCCCTCGCTAATGACGTCATCGCATCAATCGCTGACGTACCCGCGGAGGGGCAGCGTGGAGCGGGTGTGCTGATCCGGGGAGTGCGAGGGTCCCACAGAAGAGCTGGAGGAGAGCGATTCGCTCTGGCTCCGCACCCTGACTCCGGAGAGGGGGCTTGGGGGCTGGGAGAAGGGAGACCGTCCCCCCAGCGCCCGTGAGCCGCTGGCGGAGCATGCAGACCCTGCGAGCTGAGAGGCGGCGCGTCCCAGACTGGCAGGGCCTGCAGTGCTCGTGAGCCACTGGCGGAGTGCACCGAACCTACGAGCTAGCGAGCTGAGCTCAGACTGGCAGATTTCGGGCTGTCACCTCCGGGGAAGTGGAAAAGTCCCCTTTCATTTCATGGCAGTAAAAGGTGCCATTGGAAATGGCGCCCCGCCCTCCAGCGGGGAAAAAGCAAGTTCCCTCCTCTCCAGATGACCTGTCCCAGGGACGCTTCGTGGTCCGTTGCCGGACTTAGCGGTGTTCTGGGCAGGGGGAGTTGCCTGTTTCCGAGGTGCTCGACGCGCTCGCTTCGCCAGAGGCGAGTGCGGGGGCGGTGCAGCGCTCGTAGGCGGGCGCCTTCGGCGAGGAGCAGGTATGGATGGTACGGCGGGCGGAGCGGGCTTATGGGGCCGCCGATAAGACATCACCCATCGGACTGCTCTCTCACTGCCTCGAATTCCTGGGTGAAATCGCAGACTGTGTCGCCGACCAGCTTGGGATATGGGCGAGTCAAGAAAGCAGACTTTGTCAACTTCGCGCATATCAGCCAAGTTTTAGTTAGGGGTGGCGCTCCTAGACCAATAGTGTTGACATCGTTAATAGTACGAAGAGCTTAGTCAGCTGCGATGCGAAGCTCATAAGCCTGGGTTGGACCCACCCTCGTGCAGCTCGGCCAGTGCCTGCGCTTGGAAGCGCTGGTAGGTGGCTATCGCTTGCAAGGCGGAAGCAGCCTGGTCCGTAGCTTTGCAAGCTCTGACTCCGAGGAGCAGAAACTTACAGGCTTTGGATAGGAGACGAGGCGGACCCCGCCAAGAAGAGGCGCCGTGTGGATTAACCGCCATCGCGCACTCAACCTAATGAATCGCCACATACCCCCTGGCTGCTCCAACACCAAGAGTGGTGAGGGTGGAGGGACACGCAGCACGAGCAGAAAAAAAGTGCTCTTTAAGACCGCGTGAGCCTACTGTGCGTCGCCGGGAAGAAGGGAACGCCCCTCTAGTCGGTCCGGCTGCGGAGCTGGGGGATAAACCATCTCCAACCCACGGCCGAAGCAGCCCGGGAAAGCACGGCTAACACGTCCGTTTCAGTATCCGTTTTGACAGCGCTCACCTGCCCGAAGGGGGCGAGCGGGTCTGGATCATCGTCGGACAATGAAAGCTTGGATGGAGCGCTTGGAGGAGCGAGAGGTCCGCGAGCCCTTAGGCGGCGGATTATGTCTCGCTGGAACCCTCAGATCTGCCCGAGCGCCCGCTGCAGAGCAGGAGGCGACTGGGGTGGCTCGCTCTCTTACGAAAGCTAGCCGCGATCTCAACTGCGCGACGGTCATGGCATCGCAGTGACGACATGAACCGCCCCCGAGCACCACATTAACATGCTGGACCCCCAAACATGTAATGCAGTGATCGTGCCCATCATCTGGAGCCAGGAAACCCCCGCAACCAGAAACGCACAGTCGGAGCGCCATCCTGAAAAGGACGTGCTGCACGACTGTGTTGCTCTTTTAGGAAAACTGCAACAATACGCACCGCTCTGGAGGACCGGACCCAAAGGGACGCCAGGCAAGGGAGAAAACCCAGCTCGACCATCTGCCGCTGCGTGGACTCGCTCTGGACCTGGAGACACTCGTTCGCTCGATGTGGCAATAGACAGCAAGAGGAACCCTCATGAAGCTCAATCAGAGAAGTCTCTGAAGCGAAAAGGATAGCGTTTGCTGGCGCCAGGTGTGCTTATATGCTCAGTTAATTGGCGATGCAGCACACCTGCGCAAGCTTACGCTGCCAATTCATTGCTTCATTGGCCCGTTCAATACTCTTTCAGACAAGTAGCTTCTGAACCGAATCTCCCATACGTGGATTTAGAACATCAAATCCACTTATAGTGCTTAAGTTCCCCAACCGAAGGGGAACTGCACTGACACAGTTTCAGTTTGAATTTACCATAACTTCTATGTAAAGCTGCTTTGACACAATCTACATTGTAAATGAAAAAAAATAATAATAATATTGTGTGATTATGAATTTTGTGTTAGATCTGGAACTGTGATTTGGATCATTGTCCTGCTAAAACATCCAACTCTGCCGTAACTTCATACCATTGTCTGATCCTTGAACATTGTTAAGAATCTGCTGATACTTAGTGGAATCCATGTGACCTTTGACTCTTTAACTCTGAAAGGTTTCCAGTATCTGTGTTTGCCACACATCACCACAGCATGATGGACCATATTTTACAGTAGAGAGCATGTTCTTCTCCTGGAATGCTGTGATCTTTTCCGCCATGCAAAGCACCTGTGATTGTGGCATCTGTTCACAGTATATTTTTCCAAAATGATTCAGGCTTGTCCAGATGAGCCTCTGCATACCTCAAATGACTCTGTTTGTTGGCAGAATGCAGGAAGGCACTGGACTGTGAAACAATGTACAATGACATTATCAGCAGCAAGATGTTCCTGGAACTATTTGGAGGTGGTCTGTGGTTTGTTTGTGACCATTCTACCCATTATCCACCTTTGCCTTTCAGATATTTTCTAGGCCAACCACATCTTTAGTTCACTGTTGCTGTGGCCTTCCATTTTCCTACTAAAATTATTACTGTGGAGATAGAGACTTTAAACATTTGTAATAACTTTTTGCATCTTCCTCTTAATCCATGTGATGATTTATCCTAGTGTTTAGGTCATTAGGGCATTATTTTGAAGTTTCATTGATGCTACTTTCTGGTTCACAATAAGGAGAAACACAACTAGCAATCAGCTATCTTAAGTATCCTTTTTTCATGATTGGTTGCACATGTGTTAGGATTGTTAAGGTTCATGGAGTTTTGTAATCAATCAGCCTCAAGTGACTACAGGTTTTGAAATCCACACAAACGTGGGTGCCCAAACTTTTGCATAGCCTATTTTTCAGTTTCAATTTAATTTCACACTTCTCAATACTGCTATACTATACATTTCAATCTGAAAAACATGACTTGATCTAGTTTTCTCTAGAAACCGAATAGCATATCTCTGCAATCTTTTATCTCGCAGCCACAGAAGATGAGCTTAAAATTGTGCATAAAACTGATTATATACTGGTAATACATTATAATAACTGTATTTTCATTACAAAATTAAGTATTGCAACATTTACAAACCAGTTATTTAAATTATGTAATTTATTTGAATTTTTATTTAATCATGTACTGACTCTTTCTGACTTAATCATACTTACTCATAGTCAACTACTCTAAAATAACAGTTTTTTTAAATAACACAATACTTAATTTAAATCATTTTATTAACCATAAAAAGTAAGAAAATACCATAGGATATCATATCATATAGTACATCATCTATGTGTTTACTGGGTATGTCAAGTAGTATTTGTGGTAGTATGTATAAACTGCTTATTAATTTCTTACAATATCTAGAAATTCCTGAATGTTTTCTTAAAAAATTTACGGTAAGTAAGGTGGTAAAGTTTTCTTTTTTGGAAGTGAACCTAATACTTTCAGTTAATTTCAAATTGATTCAAACATGCAGGTTAAACTGCATGAATGTTTTAAGCAATGAGGCATTTAAATATAAACAACAAATCCCTATGGATCCCTTTTTTCAATACGGGTCCTTGCTCTAAACATTTTGTGTCCGCCTTCTTTAACACACATGATTCCTATGATTGGCCTTATTAGGAGTGAGCTTTATCAACAGGTTCAATAGACCCTTTTCACAATGAGGTCACTTAACTTACACCTTTCCTGCAAAGTAGTGTATCGGTAGTTCCATTTTTACTTTTTTTTATGATTTACAAATTAGCATGCTGTTATTCAAGACAATTAAAGTATTGAGATTGTGTCCAAATGTTTCTCTTTACTTTTGTCAATACTAAACTGCTTTCTGAATATCCTGTTTGAATATTATTTATTAATATTATAATGCTATTATTATTATTATTATTATTATCCATGCATTATTTATTTAATTATTTCCACAAGCTATAATTATTATCATCATTATTATTATTATAGTAATATCTTATTACAGTATGCTATTGTTTCTTAAGGTAAGTATACTTGAATTTATACATAGATTTTACTTCTAATGACAGTTCTGGGCCCTCTCAGCCCTGCACACATCTAAATAAATATTTTAGAAAGGTTTTGTTTGATTAGTAACAGTCAAATATGATATTGTTACTCTATATAGATTTATTTGAATCTTAAATATACAATAATATGCTAATAAATATACAATAAACTTATTTAGACAAAAATGCAGACAACTGACCAGTGCATAGAATGTGAATGGATCATTATTACTCTAAAGTGCCTTTGATGTCCCACAAGATTGAGTCACTCCAATATAAACGTAATGTGAAATAATGAAATTCTGATGTTTTAATATAATTGGTAAAAACTTTACACAAATGCAGGTAGAATTATGTGTTTTGAAGTTTGTTTTATTAAACTTTTGCCATATTCTTTCATTGAATGGATCTGATTTTGCCATTTCCCACACACTGCTCAGCCAACTTCAGTGAGATTTTTTAAGTATTCTTATTGTCTTTAACAAGTTATTTGAGAAAAAAAAAAGTTGTAAATGCCCCTTTGAAAAACCCTCTGATGTACTCATTGGCATCCCCAAGGAGGTTAAAACATCTGATGTGCACACATTAAGTATCTGCACTTTCCTATTTTTCCTCATATTGTGTTTGAAACATGTCCACCCTGTCATAGTGAAATATTAAGATCTTCATTTAAAACATAGCTTTTAAATTGTGTACAAAGAGCTTAAATAGGGAAACACTTTGCCAACTGCAGGTACAACATTGAATAAATGCTATCTTTAGTTGCATTTATTATTAAATGTACCCCCTGTCATTATCCGACCTGTCACAAATCCTTCCTTGACAGGGGTGGACAAAATGCAGTGTTATTGATTAAATGATTTATTTATTTTTTATTTTATATTTTATTGTTAATTACTAAATGTTTTTTATGTTTCAACACTTAAACACTCAGTCTATATTAAGAATATCCTTTTAAAATCCATATAATGAAGCTCATTGACAGTTTGAAATAAAAAAATATAGCCCTAAGTATTTGTACATTTATGTGAACATCTGTAATCTAATTATTTACCTTATTCTGAACAATAAAAACAGTATTATTACGGTGTTTAACTTGAGTTGCTTCCAACATTCCCTTTACTCATCCAATACAATGTACAATGTAAATATTAACATTCATTAGCAAAGTTAGTTTAATTTGAAGGACAATAATTGTTTATTTTCCCATTAATTTGCATATTGATAAAACCTAATTGATAATAGAAGAGTCAGCATGGTGGCTCAGCGGTTTGCAGTATAGTTAGTGAAAAGAAAAGTTGAATTCTTAAAAACTTTAACAACTCTATTATATTAACCCTTTAAAATGTATTGTTATACCTGTTGCTTTTCAAATGTTCCTCTATATTTACTTCACTAAATAAAGCCTTTGTCTACTATCAAGTTGTTTTTTATGAAAATAAACAAATTATTTAAAACCTCAGCAAAAAAAAATATTGTGTGGTTTCTTAATTAACCAATAAGGGCTAGTTAATATTGTTTGAAAGATTGACAAAATATTTTCAATCTTGAGTTTTATTTTGAAAAGAGTGTGAAACGATTGCATATTTATTCGGGGAAAAAATATTTTTTTCCTTTCCTTCATTAGCATAAATAGACTTTTTACATAATCTTGGGTTGGGTCGGTAAAGCGACACCTTTCTGAAAATCTACATTTTATAAACACACTGCAATGAACATATACTTCTTTAAAATAAACAAACTGCTTTGAATTTGTCCATGGCAGGGTTGACACAATTTGAGGCTTGTTTACTGTTTTCCAGCTTGCAGATTGTTTGTATAAAGTACAGGAGCTTGACCAAAATTTATTTCTTACAGCCTATGGTCTAATTAATACAAGAAATATGTGGTTAAATATAAAATCTCAAACTTTATTTGGAAATTTTGATGTCTCATAGGCACTTTATAGTAATAATGACCCGAATAATATAAATGCATCTGTTAGTCAGCTGTTAAACACCTTTAAAACAACTATACAAGCACAAAAATGCTTGTATTGGCCATCTTCACACAGTTATATTTTTCTATAGTAAATATATTTACGACTGGGTAAATTCTCTGTTGTTAACACTGTATAGGTGGACATACAGATTCACTGCTTCGAGTCAAATGGAAGCTGTGTGACATCGTAAAAAGGGCATATTGGGCCATGTACTGCACATCAGCATAGAGACATGCAGAATATTTAATGTTTCAGTAAGGCAGTGGTGGGTCCCCATGTTAAAGACTGCAAACCACTGGCATAGAATTGTTTATACAGTGGCACAATCTATCATAGCTTGACAAAGTGAGTTTTTTTTTTTCTTTTATTAGTACGTCTGTAATTGTTTTCTATTAAAAAAAAAAATTAAAACACCTTTTAAAAAAAAAGATGAAGTCATGAAATTAGCTCTGTCTCAGCAAATATAAGTGTGAAATTTAGCACATAAAAGTAACAAGGCAAATGATTTTCTTCTTTTCCATCACTGCAATTTTGATATGATTTCTCATTGCTGGTGCATATTGCATATTAAGTAAAGACTTTTTAAATTCAAATGCAATTTCACAAATTCATTGGAATATTTCTGCTTGAAAATAGTTTGGTGTTTGGTTTTTATTTACAGTTGAATCATTAATAGAAAACACTGCAACATTGTGTCAGATTATTTCATAAAAATACACACAAAACACAAAAATGAGGGCAAATGAGTAACTGCATTTCTTAAAAAAAATAAATATATACCTCTCACATTATAGTGTAGATGGGCAGGTGAGCTAGTCTGTGCCATTGCTCATTATCTTAAAAAGTGTCTAAAAGGTGAGTACAAATTGAAACATCAAAAACAGAGAGGTACAACAGCTCAGTTCAATATTTAATATTGTTCTCTCACTGTATCTTTTTGTTTCAAAGAAGAATGTTTAAAAAGGGCCTGAGTTTGTAGTTTTTCTCACACACATGCTTAAATGTTCACTACATCTGATGAACAATCATTCCAGGGATAACTGTGAATAAAGAGAAAAAGAGAGAGAGTGTGTCAGTTAAACATAATTTTTGATAAATACCTGCATGTAAATTCTCTTAGCCTTCAGTGTCACATGATCCTTCCTAAATTATTTCAATATAATGTTTTGATTCTCAATAATTGCTAGTTATTATTAGAGATTAGTTATAAATAATGTATATTATTGTTATCAGTGAAACTGTTTAAAATATTTTAAATTTAATAGCTCTTGCACTGCATGTTATACATTGTTGATAAATTCAATGTATCTTAGTTTAAAAATGTCAAAGATCAAGTTTGCTGGGGCACTTCAGATCATTTTAGAAGGACACTTTCTATTCAAGACTAAAAAGGGCATGTGCACTGCACAGGTTGAGCCCTATGTGTGCACGTGCCTGCTCTCAGACGATTTTAGAAGCTGTCATTCATTCATTCATTCATTCATTCATTCATTCATTCATTCATTCATTCATTCATTCATTCTCACCATACTTAATCTTAGTTTCTTGTTTATCCTCATTACATTCACGTGGGATAAAAGAATGTCATCTTAACTCTGTCTTTTGTGAAATGCAGTTGCTGTTTAATGTATAGTACATGGGACTCATTCAAAGTAGCGTCGCTTCACAAAAACACATTACGTTTGCATGCTACACTTCTGACAGTTAATTAAACTCTGTCTTTTTTTAAAATATCGAAATAGAAAGCAAAATAAAAAGCTGTCCCCTCATAATAGCAGGTGTATCAGTGCACCGTTACATTGAAAACATATGATTTGATTCGCGCCTTCTGATTGGTTCTCTGCCTATGACGGCTATTGCTCTCAAAGGCATTTGCCGTTTAGCTGCTTTTGCCAACAAACTGTTATTTCTGAAGTATATTTACATAAATGTATATACATAAGTATATTTAAAACCTTGTTTTAAAATCTAATCATTCATCAATCAATCTTTTTTCTTGACTTTTTGTCCTTGACTATGTATCATTACAAATATCAGAGAAATCCATGACACTATTTAATATTTTTTATTTAAATTTAATATTTTTTTCAAGTCTGTAAATATAAGGTATGTCATGAACTTACAATGGTAATTCCCTTATAAGACCAATCTATGAAAAAGGGAAAATGAGATGTCTATGGAATTAACGAGTGAGTTTTTTTTATTAGACATTTTAGATTTCTTTATTAATTTTCCTATGGGGGAAATGACTAATAATAATAAATGGCCGTAAACAGTTAAATTGCTTTCTTTACAAAAATTTGATCATACATAGGATACAATTATGCAAATAGGAAAATACAAGTTTGCAACATTATTTTTATTTTTATTTTAAATCAATTGAAGTGAATGAGACTGGAAATCTCGAGCCAATAAGTTCACAGTGGCTGTGCCTGCTAATACATCTAAAAACAATAAGGTCAATAAGGCACACCTGCAAGATGGCACAATAGTTTTTTTCACTTCAGAGCAGCATTTCTCTGTGAGAAAATTACCAGCGCTGTTATGGTGCATTCAGATGAAGATGCACAGCATTTCTCATTCCAGCCTCAGACGAGATTGCCAGGTCATCCTCTGAGATGCTTGCTGTCTCATTTGATTATAATGTCTATTGTTGCACTAGAGGGTGAGCTGTCATGCTCTGGTGAGAGTTCCAGGGCACTTTCCCCATCCTGGGTGCCGGAACCCACTGGTCTCAATTAGGGCATGATCAATGTGCTTTCCAGGGATGACTGAGATAGGGTCTCTTTGCCTCCCTGCTCATGAGCCTTATGTGCTAACAACCAGTTCACCAACAATAAACCTGTGCCATCTTACAGGTGTGCCTTATATACTCCTTATATTTGAAGATATAGGTCAGATACAAAAACCTCTAAATGCCATTTGAAAGTTTCACCTGAAATGAGCATTTTTCTCAGTCTATGTTTATGTTCAGCTGTTTCACTTTAAAGGCAATGAGATTAACTTTTTTGTTACTATAAATGTAAAATTTCTGAGCCTACACACAGGAGTATAAGAAATATGCTAATTTTAGAAGGAATTATCCAATGGCATTTAGAGGCTTTTGCATCTAAACTCTTCATTTGATTTCACATGCAGAATGCACTCACCAGTTTCATTGGTATATCTGTTATGTAACAAGAGTTGCATACATTACAGAGATGACTCAACATGTCATTAAAATCTGCTCACATGAAAAAGAGAAGTACATTATTCTTGAGGGGTTGTGGAAGTAGTGGGGCTAAAACAATTGCTGAATTAATGTGAACAGAAACTCAAACACAGTTGAGTCCTTGATTCCGATTGGCTGATTGAACATTTTTATGTGTCCAATTATTTTTAGGAAAACCCAAAATTACTTCTAGTATCTTATAGGGATGTCCCGATCCGATATTGATATCGGAAATTCGTCCGATATCAGTCCAAAAAACTATATCGGACTGCGTTAAAAAGCTCCGATATAAGCAGTCTGATACTCTCTAAACTCCGTTACAGCTATTTTATCCAGCAGCGTCCAGAGCCAGCGTGCAAAGCCCACGAGATCACAACACTGCTTGCTAGCAAAGTCTCTAAGATTTAACATGCTCTTCACACTAAGTTATGGTGTATTACGATAGAAATTTATTGTGACAGTAGCAAACGCTGACGCTAGCAACAATGGCACATCTCTAACGTCACTGGTTTATTTACTTCACGTCAAGCGATCTTTACATTGTTTTGCATAAGGCTGCTAAGCAACATAAGGCACAGAATGGCGACGTAGCGCACATCGTGCGAGCCTCAATTCGGTCATGGCATATCGTGGTTCATCCAGTGTGATACCTAATTCATCACCAGCGCTTCCCACACATAAGACTTTACCTCAACGGCCCGGTTCTCTGTTCGCATGAGAAAAGTCTCCGCCACAGACTCGCGGGCCCTGCTGCTGCAGCAGACCCACAGAGACGCGCTGGACACCTGCTCTGACTTTAGCTTTGAGAAGATCGCGAGGACACACGGGAAAAAACTTACAATACATTATCTTTTTTCCGGACATGTCCTCTATTTGGGACTTAAAAATTGCAGTCAGCCAAGATTTCTAAATCGCCGAACATGTCCCGGATACTGCTTTCTTTAGCTGCGTTTCTACATTATTTTATACCAAACTTTTAATCTCAATCTCTCAGCAGCACCAAGACTAGAGAGGGAGCAGATTTGACGTGTCAGTGGTGCACATGGATAGTAAGAGTGAAATAGTGGATTTATTATTCTTTATTTCATTTTTTTACTTCAACACTCTGAAAGGAAAGTGTCATGTAAAATGCTAAACATTTTTGTTGTTTACATTGTCTGGTAAATAAGAATAAGAAATCATTCTGTTGCTGATGGCCATTACAGTTTAAAAGAAAGAATGATATTACTCTTGGGGCAGAAAGGAAATTTTATTAGAGACATTCCCATGTTTAACTCTTCTTTAAAAAGACCAGAAAGATAAAGTGTATGGAACAAAATCAATGCCTAAAGTCTTGAATTAAAAAGCTTGTTGAATATCACAAACTGAAAAAAATAATACACCGTATTAACAAGTTCTTGCATTTTAATGACTTGAATTCCAGGGTTTGTATTTTTAGGTCCTGAATTTTAACATATCTGTTTATTTAAGCTGTGAATATTTCAACGAAAAATATTTCAAACACGTTTTCATACTTAAAAATTCAATAATTCATATTCAATTTTCAGATTTCACTTAAAAAATATTCAATACCCTTTAAAAATACGATGTATAATATTCAAAAGGTCATTTTCAGTTCATTTTATTTCAGTTCTAATATTCGCTTCCATAAATTCAGTGGATCAAATTCGACTGATAAAATTCAACATTACATCCGTGAACTGCAGGAGAAGCAATAGATTGCAGATTGAAGATCGCCAGCTGCTCTAGCTTTCACCAGCAGGTGGAGATGGAATAATGTAAGATTTTTAACCCAGTAAACAGGCGAGAAAAAGGCTAATAGAGGCAAAAAAAGTAGCATTTAATTTTAATATCAATGCCTTGGACATTATAAATAATAAAAAGTATGAGTAAAATGAGTAAATGAGGTTTTAGTCATCTATATTTGCCCTTATGTAACGGAAGCCAGCTGGTGATCGCGTAAAGCTCACTCCTCGGATCCAGGGACAGACGTTCTGCAATCTTATCGGAGCTTGTCTCCCATGCTGGCTCGTTACCTGCTCGGACCGGTGCGGTTACTTGCACATAAACCGTCTTTTGATGAATATGATGTTAAACATTGTCTATCTTTATTGACTCTTTCTTCCATAGACGCGAAGTATTATATTGACAGCTAAAGAATATAAACGTAAGAGAAACAGGAGAGGAAATATAATAATAATAATACAAAATAGATAAACATTGACAGGGCTAAGAACAATTACGAACAAAGATTTTCAAAACCAGAGAGATTTTATCAGGATGTCACAAAACAGTTTACTTGGAACTGTTAAACAGTGTTCAGGTATGATTTAAGGTTGGTTATGGATGGCGCGTCTAATTTAAAATAATTTAATATAATGTGCGAATGCATTAAAGGAGCGTCTTCAGTTATTCACACAGAACCGTCTAATATGGCATAACTATAAGGAGTAATGTTTGCGCTGTTTAAACGCAGCTATGTCAGGATTGGGATAGGTTATACATTTTTATCATTTAAATTATTATTATGATTGTTAATATTATTATTGTATGACATTTATTTGGGCTATTGCGCTTAAATAAGTCATCTGTAATTCTAAATTAATATTTCTATTTATCCTTTTTATCACTCTGCCTGTCTTTCTCTTCTTTTTTCTAATTTTTGGGGTTCTGCCATGGTTAAACGTTTGCAAAATGTCTTAGTTTGTCCAGATTATTGTTTTATTGTTATGTAGCCTATAGGCGAGAAAAAGGTATTAACGCAAAAGTGGCAACGTCGCAGCCAATGATAAGTAATGAAATGAGTCGCCTATGGTTTGATAATAGGCAGTTATAACTGACTTTAATTAGTTTTTATTAAATGAGAAAACCGTTATTTATAACTTTGCAGCGACCGTTTGTATTTTATGATTAGCAAAGTTTATCTTTTTTGCAGTTATTAAACATATAAACTTATTTAAACTGGTTTAAATTTAATATAGTTGTCACTTCAGCTAGTTTCATAAGATTAATGTTTAGAATGCGTGGTTTGACATGCGTGGTTGAGGGGTTCCTGCAAAGCAGCTCAATGTTCATCCTCATGGGGTATTACTGAGCTTTAATCGCCATCCACTGTAGAGAATGTATTTGCTCATTTATTTTATTAACTCTTTTCTGCAAGTGTGTTTTATGATTTCACAAAGTCAAACCATTATGTTTTTATTTTATATTTTGAGATGATCATATTTAAATAAACAATTGCTAGGGTAGCTAATAGTTTCTTTTTTCTTAAAAAAAAAAAATCAGTAGCCTATAAAATCATAATTTTTGCTTGACAAAGTTGTTTAGGATTCTGGATGCATTTTTGCTGTGTTGGAAACTCATAAGCTCACACTAATCAATTATATTATCAGAAATGACAGATATAAGAAATCCATTAATATTCATCACTCTTTTTACAATTATACAAGCAATTTCACGCAGACATCAGCTCCACTTTCGGAAATGGTAAACAGCGAGGTGTTATTCATATAAGCCCAAGCATGACATATGCCATGATAAATATAATAATCGAAACACTCTTGTAGGCTATTCTTGTGCTTGGCCAAATGTCATGACTTTCACTTTCATTTTACATTATTATGCACAAGCCCAGATATCATCTGAAACTTTGGAAGAATTCCTATCATATATTGGCAGCCATCCAGCATCTCTTAACCAGTTTGATATGCGGCGCTGGCTCTGACCGGCCACCGGAGCTCGCGGCCACTCGTTCGACTTTGTCGTGAGCAAGCAGCACCGCAGATGCATAAAAACGTCAATCATTTCATTCATTCATCAATTCATTCATTTTCCTTCTGCTTTGTCTCTATTTTAGAGGAAAAGATAATCTGGACAAACTAAAGACATTTTGCAAACGTTTAACCGTGGCAGAACCCCAAAAATTTGAAAAAAAAGAAGAGAAAGACGATAGCAAAGTGATAGCTAAAAAGGATAAATAGAAATATTAATTTAGAATCACGGATGACTTATTTAAGCGCAATAGCCCAAATACATGTCATAATATAATAATAATAACAATCATAATTTAAATAATGAAATTATAACCTATCCCAATCCTGACATAGCTGCGTTTAAATAATAACTGAAGACGCTCCTTTAATGCATTCGCACATTATATTAAATTATTTTAAATTAGACGCGCCATCCATAACCAACCTTAAATCATACCTGAACACTGTTTAACAGTTCCAAGTAAACTGTTTTGTGACATCCTGATAAAATCTCTCTGGTTTTGAAAATCTTTGTTCGTAATTGTTCTTAGCCCTGTCAATGTTTATCTATTTTGTATTATTATTATTATATTTCCTCTCCTGTTTCTCTTACGTTTATATTCTTTAGCTGTCAATATAATACTTCGCGTCTATGGAAGAAAGAGTCAATAAAAAAAGACAATGTTTAACATCATATTCATCAAAAGACGGTTTATGTGCAAGTAACCGCACCGGTCCGAGCAGGTAACGAGCCAGCATGGGAGACAAGCTCCGATAAGATTGCAGAACGTCTGTCCCTGGATCCGAGGAGTGAGCTTTACGCGATCACCAGCTGGCTTCCGTTACATAAGGGCAAATATAGATGACTAAAACCTCATTTACTCATTTTACTCATACTTTTTATTATTTATAATGTCCAAGGCATTGATATTAAAATTAAATGCTACTTTTTTGCCTCTATTAGCCTTTTTCTCGCCTGTTTACTGGGTTAAAAATCTTACATTATTCCATCTCCACCTGCTGGTGAAAGCTAGAGCAGCTGGCGATCTTCAATCTGCAATCTATTGCTTCTCCTGCAGTTCACGGATGTAATGTTGAATTTTATCAGTCGAATTTGATCCACTGAATTTATGGAAGCGAATATTAGAACTGAAATAAAATGAACTGAAAATGACCTTTTGAATATTATACATCGTATTTTTAAAGGGTATTGAATATTTTTTAAGTGAAATCTAAAAATTGAATATGAATTATTGAATTTTTAAGTATGAAAACGTGTTTGAAATATTTTTCGTTGAAATATTCACAGCTTAAATAAACAGATATGTTAAAATTCAGGGCCTAAAAATACAAACCCTGGAATTCAAGTCATTAAAATGCAAGAACTTGTTAATACGGTGTATTATTTTTTTCAGTTTGTGATATTCAACAAGCTTTTTAATTCAAGACTTTAGGCATTGATTTTGTTCCATAAAAGTGCTCTGATAAACAGTGTCAGCTTTGCACATCAGTTTGCAGCTCTCTTTATTTACATTGTCTAATTTTCCCATGTGGGCAGTAGAGTGGAATCTGTGCAAATATGCAAATATAATGAATTTTGATAAATAAAATTATTCTTAAAAGTCACATTATTTCAAGTGCTGTGGAGAAAATGTGTGTTTCAATCTAGCCTCTGCAAGTATTTTATGTTAAATATAATATGTGCAATATATATTATTATAAAATTAGTAATGTTTGGGAACATTGATACAGCCATAATCTTCTTATGATACAAACACAGATGAAATAGCTCTGATAATGTAAATGCTTGTACTTACCATACTGCACATTTTTATTAACTTAACAACAAATTATTTCTGCTGCCCAGTGTGAAAGATATTTTTCAGCTCAAATGGATCAAAAATTTATCAAAAAGCTGTGTGTGAAATTGAAATTTTGGACTCTGAACCTTTAGCAGTTGTTCAATTAACAATTTTTGTTCTTATCTTTCTGCTCTCATCAGTTTCTACTCTTTGCTGATGGTAAAAAGTGAACAACTGAAGTGACCTTTAATTAGCATTTTAAAAGCACTTTAAAAATGTATTTTTGTTTATTCAATTAAGATATTTTTCAGGGTCTTAATATGTATTCTTTAATTATTTTTATATATTCTTATGTAAAAGGTTCACATTTATGCAACCAATAGTTAATAAAGTGGTTGTTTTTTTCCATACTTACTGTTGCTGACTTGTTCTCAGTTTGATCTAGCCTTTCATACATTCGACTCAACAAAATAGGTAAAAATAAAGTATTCATAATTTGTGCTGATATCGGATTTATAACGGTATCGGACTGATGGCTGCAATATCGGTATCGTATCGGAAGTTGAAATGTTGTATGGGGACATCCCTAGTATCTTAACCTATTTTAGTTCCATATAGTTGCACTGAATTATTTCAGTTATTCTGCCTGTTCTAACAACAAAACAAAAACACAAATATGTTGCCGCAGACAATTCTATTATTTAAACAGTATTTAAAAATACTTTTCACAGCATAAACTCCACATAACATTTAGTTTAGAGTAATTTTCTTAAGAAAGTGGGGTGATTTGAGGCTGCTAAATGCTGTAGGAAATGGACCCACATGACTCTATTTCTTGATGAAGGTGACAGAAAGTGCAGTGACAACTGAAGGAGAAATAGCTTATAAATATGAAGGTGAAAACAGAAATAGTAGGTGAGAATAGGATTAAGTGGACAAGAAGCAGGATGATTAAACTTGGTAGAAGTAACAAATGACTAACGTACTTCAGGAGAAGGCCAGGCCCTGGAGTGCACTGGCTGTGGAGTACTTGTTAGAGTCAACAAAAGACTGATCTAAAGGAAGTGAAAAAAGAAAAGGGCAAAGGGAAATAAAAAAGAGACAAGTGTTAATATCCCTCTCAATGTTAAGTGAATTTATCTTAAAAAGAGAAGATTAGACATTACTTTTTAACTATATCACAAATTGTTACAGTAAAGTTTCAACAACATAAAGATTGTTTATGCAACCACAGTTTTGTTGACTAAATAAATTTTAGCTTAGAACTTTACAATAAAATCAGTTACCAAAAAATATAAATAACATAATAAATAGATAAATTGCTCAAACCTGCTATAAAATAAGACTTGTAAACCCCAAACTTGTCTATGTAGAAAACTTGCATAAAACACTTTGAAATGCCGTTCAATTGATCTGGATTGATCAATAGATTATCAATTGAAATGTTTTCACATGCTCCAGAAAGCAAAATTTGAGAAAGAGAATGTAAAATTGCAGTTAAAAATTTAAGTTTTACAACCTTCTATTGGCTTAATATACCTGCTATACCAGGACTCGCCAAAGAAAAAGGATCTGCACTCATAGATCTGTACAAGGTTTGAAATTTGTTTAATACACACCACACACACAAACACATTCTTGCGTGCAAAGACCAGTGTTGGGAGTAATGCGTTACAAAAGTAATGTATTACAGTAATGTATTACATTTTCCTATAACACAGTAGTGTAAGGCATTACTAATACATTTTCAGTAATATTTTAGTCTGTACATGTGTTACAACAAACTTTTCACCAGCAAGACATTAACAAATAAAAAAATTGCTTTGGCTTTGGGGGCTTAAGCCCCTGATGTACTGTCAAAAGCCCCTGATCTTTTGCAATACGTTGCACTTAAATAAAAATATGGTGAACAACATTTATTTTGTTATCTAAGTACTGAAAATTACCGCGTACATCACGCACATTCCACCTAAAGCAGTGTTTGTGTCGGGTCAGCTGTTCAGCAGTACCTGTATCTACCGGCAGGTGGGAGTGGCACTGTTGTCACATGATGTTTAAAAAAATTCCGCCACTGCACTTCATTTATTCATTATTTTGAAGAGCTGAAGCTGATGAGGTAATAAGACAACTCTTTCGTGAAACTGAATAGTTCTAACTACTGATGAAGTATAACATTTGTTTCCACAGTATAAAATGTGTGTAGTTTTGGTGAAATAAAATAACTGTAATCGATAAAATGTGCATCATATCAATGCATAAATGCCAATTAGTCAGAAAAACGTAAATTGTTCTAGCTTTCTAGATATGATATAGATATCTAGGCATATTTATCGAGATATGATATAGCCAGTCACATCTGTTTCTGTAATGGTTAAATCACAGTGAGTTCATGCATCTAACATATTATTGTATAGCTACATTCTACTGTAACATGTTGTTTCAGTTAGCAGGGGATTATAAATCGACTTTCTTATGAAAATACCTGAGATGGCTGGAAGAAGACATACAGTTGAAGTCTGATTAGCCCCATTTGAATTATTGCCCCCCCCCCCCCCCCCCCCCAACACATTTCAAAACATAATAGTTTTAATAGCTCATATCTATTAACTGATTTATTTTATCTTTGCCATGATAACAGTAAATAATATTTTACTAGACATTTTTCAAGACACTTCTATTCAGCCTAAAGTGACATTTAAAGGCTTTAAAGGCAGGTTAGGGTAATTAGGCAAGTTATTGTATAACGATGGTTTGTTCTGTAGACTATCAGAAAAAAAATTAAAGGGGTTAATAATTCTGACCCTAAAAGGGTTTTTAAAAATGTAAAATTGCTTTTATTCTAGCTGAAATAAAACAAATAAGAATTTCTTCAAAAGAAAAAATATTATCAGACAGTGAACATTTCCTTGCTCTGTTAACCATTATTTGGGAAATATGTAAAAAAGAAAATAAAATTCAAAGGGGAATAATAATTCTGACTTCAACTGTATAAAACATTTATTATCGCAGTCGTGTAAATGACCAGTTAAAGCCTTTTTATGTTTATTCAGATCTTATTTTCATTCAACTACAGCAATAGCTGGATGCCTTCATCCATATTAAGGATTTCCATGATTTCCAAGTTCTACAATTGTGAGGCATATATGGAATTTCTGCTCAATGAATGAATATAACAGGCATTACATGTAATCACAAAGCTTTAAAATTTATTGTTAAAAGACTGTCAACTCAAAAACTCTATTATTAAACCATTTATAAATCTATTATAAAAGTACACTGTTAACCCTTACCATAGATTATGCAGTAAATAACTATAAAATAGCCAGTGTTTAGCTGTAATGAAAAGAAACAGTATTTTACTGTAAAAGGAGCAGGATTTGTATGAAATTCTGTAGTGCAAAGAATAAATTACAGTAATTTACTCTATGTACCATTACAGATATTTACTGTGATAATAAATGGGAAATTACTGTTCAACCATAAACAAGCATTGCTAAATAACTAGTAAAAATGTTTATAAAAATATATATACATCTTAAACAGCACGCACATACATTTTTGCAGAGACTCAATGAATTTGTCTGGAAAACTTCAAATGAAGTAAGTTAAAGTGGCATTAACAGTATAGTATAAAGGCTTTCCTAAATAAATGTATAAACCATGTTATTTTTGTGTTTTTTATTATTACTACAGATTTGGAACGACATGAGAATCAGATTATTTATTATTATTATTATTTATTTTTTATTTTTTGCTTTGGATAAAGTTTGTATATTTTTATTGTTTTTATTAAACGATATGTGCATAATTGTGATACATGTAGGCAGTTGCTTTGAAAATATGCTATGTACCAGGGGTGTCAAACTCCTGGAAGGCCGCAGCCTAGCAGAATTTAGTTTCAGCCCTGCTTCAACATGTTATCTTTAGATTTAGTTTGATCAGGTATGTTTAATTAAGGTTAAAGCTTAACTGCACTGTTACCCTGTAGATTATGCAGTAAATAACTGTAAAATAGCCAGTGTTTTGCTGTAATGAAAGAAACAGTATTTTACTGTAAAAGGAGCAGACTTTGTATTAAATTGTGTAGTGCAAATGATAAATTACAATAACTTACTTTACGTACACATTACAGGTAGTAACTGTGACAATAAATGACAAATTACTGTTCAACCAGTACTGTCCCATCTACTCTGATGCTTTATGTTGCTAATCATAGAGACGTGCATTTTAAAGGCAGAAAACAATGATTTAGGCATCATCAGACACTCCCATAGGCTGTCTTATTCTTAACAAAAAAGTTTTAGAAAAAGTTTTCAGAAAATGCTGGCCCTTTAAGGGAGCCACGTGTTTGATTTGTTTACTGCTGCGTGCTCTATTCTCTGTCCATCAATTCAGATGTAGTCTGATATGTTTTAGGCTTTAAATAAGAATCTACAATGAGTAAGTAGAATGTGTTCAAATTAATTTTGAGGGTTTCTAAAATAAGGCTGTGTTTTAAGATATATTGTAGTTATCTTGAAAAGTGTTGAAAGCTACATTGTTAGCTAGTTAGCCTCTCCTCATATAACTTCTTACATTACTTTTATTTAAGTATATTTATTTATTGGATATTGCATATTGTCATAATGTACAGATGCTAACATTTCATGTATCTTTCTGGCAAATAAGCAGTTTTAATGCACATAAAAACCATTAAATTCCATCACCTTAGTAAGGTAACATGTGCACAGAAATCATATCAGGGAATCACAAAAACATGATAGACATAACCATCCACACACAAAAGCTCCACTCTCCGGTCCCAGGTTGTGAGTTTGTTGCTATTTTAGATTTCAGAGCAGTGTTTCCACCTATGAATTTATATTAGAAACAATATAAAAGTTTGTTGTCATGAGATTTTTAAAGTAAATGATAAGTATAACAATAAAAGATTGGATCCTTTGGATATTCTGTTGCCGACTTTATTTTTGTTTTTTTATAATTATTTTAAACTTTTTATTGAGAATTGACAGTATGTGCCTGTGTTTGACAAACATGTTTCTATCTATATCTCTATCTATGTGTTCTTTTCATATGCCTTTTTTAAATAATTTTAAAAATAAAATAATTATTTTGTGTTTTTTGCTGTTCAGTTTTTTATGCATGGTTCGCATTGAGGAGAGAGTTACACATTTCACTGCAACACACCTGAACCAATTAATTAGGACCTGAACACCACTTGATAATTACAGGCAGGTGTGCTTGTTATGGGTAGCAACTGAAATCTGCAGGAAGGTAGATCTCTAGGAACAGGATTGAGCACCCCTGCTATATACCATGGGGGTCAAACTCCAAGTTCTTGGAGAACTGCAGGGCAGCAGAGTTTAGTTCCCACCCTGATTCAACATTACCTGTAGATTTCTAACAAGCCTTAATTAGTTTTATCAGGTGTGTTTAATTAGAGTTACAGCTTAAAGTCCCGGTCACACTGTACTTTTCTCCCTATAGACTTCCATTCATACGCATGTGAATGCTGCAGACCTGGAATGCAACCTCATGTGACAAATTTTACAGCAGTAAAAAATTTCGCAGTATTGTAAAGTTCAAGCTTGGAGAACTCTGACCTGCATCATGTGATTGCTTGAGACCAATCAAAGATCAAATCATGACCTCTCTGAACAAAAATTATGGACCAGTCGCTTGCTTTTTCAATCTCTAATTATTTTGTTTAATCCCACTCCTTTTCGCAGTGCCATGTGACAGAATTTCGCATACTCAAACATTAGTGTGACCACAGTCTTACTGTGCAGACCTGTGGCTCTCATTAATATGTAAGATGATATTTATATCTGCTGGTTTCTTAATTTGTTATATATTTTCTGTTGTATATTTGTTTGCTGCCAAAACAATAAAATAAATTTGTCAGAATTTTTATGCCTTCTATTTTTAATAACAGGTAATAATACTAATTAATTTTAGTAACACTATGACATACTATTAATGTGTATGCAGTATAATGCTGTAAGTTGTAACACTACAGTACAGTAATTAACTGTACACAGTTTCCAGTTAGTTA